AACAAAACTTAAAACCATTCACGAATTGATACAGCGAATAAGGGATGAAATGGCTTTGATACCTTTTGAAACGAATCGTAAAGTCATTTCTACATTCTACCAAAGATTAGCATATTGTCAGGAAGTAAATGGCAGCCACTTTCAGCATTTACTTTAACACATTGAAACACATTTGCAATCGTTTGGTGCAACCTAACCTGATCTCTGTATACACGCACCGCACGCACGCACACGCACACATTTCGAACAATTATTATGATAAATGAGCATCCACAAATTTATTTACTGTTTACTATGTCGATTGCTTTCCAGGTCTTTAAATGCTCGATTGTAATTTGGTTGGGTCTTTGCTTTTGCTGACTGGATCCACGACCGATCTTGCCTTAGTTAGCTGGATCACACACACAACAGATGCAAATCCGAGCGAGTAACCTCCATGTAGTACACCTTGGATAATGTTAATACCGGCGCTACTCTATCATTCAACCCTCATAACTCGCAAAGTACTTAATAAAAATGAACATTATTATAGTGTTTTGGAAAGCTCTTGAATTAAGCTATAAGAATATGCAATCAAATGTAGGGGGTGTCATTTAAAAAAGTCAATGTGACCTTGACCTGACCTTGACGACGCCATCCAAGGTCAAACTGATAGAATCAGTATATAGATCTTCTTAAACCCTACAACTTTTGTTGGAAACACTTTTCTGTAAAACGTATATTTTCCGAGATATTTAGGGGTTTCCACACTTTTGGTAGACCCTGTATATATATATATACAGGGTGCGTCACCAAAATCCGGACAAATCGAACAATTTTTCTAAACGAAATGTTATTAATGAAAAAATTAATTATTAAGGAAAATTCTTTCACATATCACGTAGGGGGTCCTTACAGGGTATAATTATTCTATATAACCTCTATCAGCTTCAATAACGGCCTCTATTCTCGATCTGAAACGTTCGCATGCACGCTGCAGTGTAGCGCTGTCCATATCGGCGAATGCTGCTTCAATAGCAGTCCTTAATGAGGTCACGTTGGGATGACTTGACTTGTTGGTGACCCTTTCAACAACGCTCCATACGTAATAATCCAAGGGATTTAAATCAGGACTATTGGGAGGCCAGAATTCTCTGGACCAAAACATGTCAATGTTGAGAGCCAGTTTTGGACCATATGGCTCGTGTGAGCCGGTGCACCGTCCTGCTGAAAAACGTATGGCCTTCCAAACGCATTGTTGGCTCGCTTACACCCACAATTGATGCTAATTTTCGCAACGATTGTCCTGGATTTTCCGAAACCAGCGCTTGAGTCCTTTCGATTACTTCAGGGATCCTCACGGTGCGTTCTTTAGAGTGACTCTTCCTCGCTGGCGTACTGGAACCTTCGTTTGATTGTTCTGAAGCACGATATTTTGCCACAACATCATAGACGGTTGATCTCGGATATCTAAAAAAACCGAATTATTTCCGTTGGTGACTGCCCAGCGCGAAGGCCTTCGATAATTGCGGCTCTTCGATTATATTCTCTGCCTGGTGTCGACGCTGCGGCCATTTTGAGTTTGTGACTATTTACTAGAAGCATCAAGCTTACTCAAATGCCCAAGGTGACTTTGGGCGGAGGCGCAATATGGAGAGAAATTTAAATTGAAATTTGTCCGGATTTTGGTGACGCACCCTGTATATGTGCTGTAGTAAAATACTATTATTCCAAACATATTTTTACGAATTATTTAATATTTCCATTTCTTATTCTAAAATTGATTAGTTATATGATATATTAAACTAATTGTAAAAGAGGCAAATTATTTAAATAGCTGAAAAAAATGTAAAGAAAAAATATATAATTCTAAACATTTAAAATATATCGAATCTTCACAAAAATTATACTTCCAAAACTTTACTAAAATTTTTCAAAATTAATTATGGATTTAATTTGTTTTGGAAATAATCCAAAACAAGTTAAGTCCATAATTAATTTTGAAAAACTCAAGTTAAGTTTTGAAAATATGGTTTTTGTGAAGATTCGATTAATATTTCTAAAATCATTCTGAAATAGTTTTGAAACGTTTCAAAGACTTTGAAGATTTTGAGAGATTTTGAAATTATTTTAGGAATATTTTAGAAATATTTTAAATGTAAGAAACGCGGACATTTTAACGTCTCAGAGCTATCTCAGAGATGTTGCAGAAACATTTTGAAACATTTCAGAAATATTTCAACTTTTTCAATGCAATATTTCTGAGCTATTTCTGAAACAATTTGTGCTGTATGGGATATATTTCATCCAATCCTTTCTCATCTTTTGAATGTGGGAAGGTACAACGCAGAAAGAGCATGAACATCGATAGAAAAAAGAAAAAGAAAAAAAAAGAAAAAAGGTTGTGCCCTAAGATGCAATCCTCTTCCAAGGAATACAGCTGTATATTGTTTTATGTTAAAAAATATATAAAAGGAAAAGGAGCTGCACTAGAGTATCATTTTTTCTTTCGTTGCTCTTCTGTGTTTTTCTTTCGTTGCTCTTCTGTGTAATCTTGTGCAATGGCTGAAGTAATTATTATCGATGATGATGATTACGATATGGATCTGATTGTGGCTGAGAGGATGGAGATAGAGAGAGAGGAGAGAGAGATGAATATTGGTGATCACGAATTATCAGACGAGGATGAGCCTGATAATGAAATGTTACTTGATGTAATAGAACCGTTGACGGATAGTGACTATAATAGTGATGATAGTGAGGATGGTGATGAATTATGGCAAAAAAACAACGACACCTAGAACTACCTGAAATATTGACATTGAATGAAACGCTAAAAATATGTTGCATATCGTGGTATTATGAAGAAAATGGAGAAAATTCGAAATATTACACCGAATGCTTTATCCAACGAGCGTTTTTATTTGTAGAGGCTAAATCTGTTCGAGAACATAGAACCACAACTTATTGCAATATAGAGGCTATATCATGCAGAGAGTGCAGGAAATCTTTACATCAAGTAATGCCATGCGACATGTGCCCTGTTTGCAAACATTAAAATAGATGAGTCATGGATAACATTGTAAGTATCTTTTAATTTATTATATCAAAAGTATCTTAAAATAAATTATTAAATAATTTAAACTAATGAAATGTATATATTTTCTTTTGTTTTAGGAGCAGTCCCCTGCGACCATCATATTGGATATATTTATTTGGATGTTCATGCTCTTTCTGCGTTGTACCTTCCCACATTCAAAAGATGAGAAAGAATTGGACGAAATATATATAAAGAGGAGGAGGAGGAGGAGGAAGTAAAATATATATATGTATAAATGCCTTGTACATGTCTTAAAAAAAATTTTTTCGCGAACAATTTATGTTTGAAAATTTACGTACGAAAATTTATGTACAAAAATTTAATTTCTTTATCAATTCTTTATATTGTATACTTTTTTATTAAACTCACACATTTGAATAAATTATATTATATATTTGTTCAAAATTAAAACGATCATTCGAGTCAGAAAACGCATCTTTCGCTAATAGATCAAAATTAGCATCTTTTCGCTAATAGATATTCGAGAATTTAAAATCAACGGGCATCAGGAATCTTCTCGAAATATCTGTTATTATTAAAAAAACTCGAACGCTCGAGTTTTCTCGCTTTTTGCTACCACTAAAAAACGCTCGTTATTGTCGTTGACAATATTATTGTCAACTGCCGTTAAAATTTACGCCGCTCATGGGCATGCGCGCCCATGCGTCACGATCAGCTGATCGCCAATCAGCTGATCGAGAAGGATTGCGCGCGTGAAAAACAAAGCATATCCGACATGAGACGTCATTAACATCCAATGACACACGCCGCAATAATGTCACCGCTAAAGAATCAAATTAATTGGTCCACGTCGACGCGGGCCTAAAAATCCGCCCGCTTTATAACGGGCGCCGCGCGTGGACCAAAGGAAGTCTCGTACTTATCGCTGCTCGCAGTACTTTAACCGCTTTGAAAACCGCTTGTAAAACCGCTAACATATCGACCGCTTTCTCATTTGGACTTTCTCTTTATCTCACCGGCTTCTGCAATTTTTGTTAATATATTTTATTGTATTAATCTGTTATATCGTGTGGTGTTTGAAATAAAAAGTCAAAATAAAAAAAAAAGGATCTACGTGTCGTGTGAAGTTTTTGTGTCAAATACTCTGTTCGCGGCTATCCGTCTGCCGCGTCTTCAAACCTCGCGCTGTCGCAGCAATCCGCGCTCACTCGCGAACATTTCTGGTCCTTCGAGCCGGATTATATCCGCATCCGCAGTTTCGTGGGTGACGTTTCCAGTGCTGTGCAGTGCTGAAACAGACAAACGGACAAGTGAACAATGAGTGCCGACCTGAAGGCCTTGTTAGAGGCTCAGACCGACATCCACGGACGAATGTCTCGCTCCGTGGATAACCTCCGGAAGATGGGCGTCACCAACATCACCGCCGGTGCCATCCAGGCTCGCCTCACCATCCTCGATAACCTCTGGGCGAAATTCGAGGCTCAACACGAGCTGATACGAGCGGCGCTTAAAGACAGATACATGGAGAGTGAGTACGCCAAAAGTGACTTCATAGATACCGCGGAATGTACGTACGTTTCTCAGCGAGCCACGTTGAGCGACTACGCTGACAGGCTGAGCGCCGAGTCAGTTGTCGCACACAGAATCGAGCCGAAGTCGGAGTCTTCTCCCAAAGCCGCGTTGCCGTATAAAATTGCCGCCGTTCTCGGGCGCCTATGAAGACTGGCCTTCCTTCCGGGATCTCTTCTTATCTCTCGTCGGAGAGAATCCGTCGGTCTCGAACATTGAACGCTTCCATTACCTTCGCTCCTGCGTGAAGGGATCTGCGGAGCAATTAATCCGGTCGTTAACGGTTACAAGCGAGAACTACGATCGCGCGTGGGCGATCTTGGCAAAACATTTTGAGAATAAGAAGGAGCTCATGCGCTCAAAGTTTGCTACCTTTACCGCCGTTGGGAAAATGAAGTCCGAGTCCGCCGAAGAGCTAAGCCGTGTCCATCACGCCGTCACGGCCACCGTCAACGCACAGGAGAGCATCGGTAGACCCATCAATTCTCATGGGATGGATCTCCTCAATCACTTGGTGATCGAATTGTTCGACTCGCGAACACGCCTCGAGTGGGAATCGTCCACCAGCGATTCTCCCGATCCGCCGACTCACGAGGTACTCACGGATTTTATCAGTAAGAGGATTCTTACCTTGAACGCCGCCAAACCCAAGATCGCCGCGAAGAGTGCCGGGGAACCCTCTCGGACTTCCAGCGCGAAGTCTCACTTTGCGAAGAACGGGCCCGACGCGTCCAAATGCGCCGCTTGCAAGGGCAAACACACACTGATGCAGTGCCCCGAGTTTAAGTCCAAACCCGCGAGCGAAAGGAAGTCCTTCGTTGAGGTCAGCGGACTGCTTCAACTGTCTCGGGAACCACATGATGGCACGCTGTCAGTCCATCAAGACGTGTTTCACGTGCAAGTCGCGGCACCACACTCTGTTGCACGACGCGTACACGACATCAACACCACACGAAGCGAGCACCTTTTCAACGACGCGCACCTCACTCGACGAAAAGGCGACTCTTCTCGCCACCGCGCGCGTCACTCTTACCGACCGCCTGGGACGACCTCAAGACGTGCGAGCACTGCTCGACCAGGGATCCGAGGTGTCTCTCGTCTCAGAGGACTTAGCGCAGCGCCTCCGTCTGGCGCGCACCCGCTCCTCGATGTCCATAATTGGAATCGGAGGAGCCCACTCAGGATCCACCCGCGGGAGGGTAACACTAGCTCTCAAGTCAAGGGTGACTGGAGCCTCCCTCACCGTAGCTGCCTACGTCCTTCCACGGCTGTCCTCTTACCAGGGGCCAGCGATCAAGGGCTCCACCACGTGGCCACACATACACGGTCTTACTTTGGCGGATCCTCACTATCTCCAGCGAGATCCCATCCACCTTCTCCTCGGCGCCGATGCCTTCTCCAGCATTCTCCTTGACGGTCTTCGTAAAGGTCGCAAGGATCAGCCCATCGCGCAGAGGAGGATATTCGGGCAACGTTCGGATGGATATTGTCGGAAGGCTGCGGAGTCGTGACGTCGCATGGCTCCCGCAGCTCCTTTCAGTGCACCGTAGACCGCGACCTGAACGCCCTAGTGCAGAGGTTCTGGGAGCAGGAACAGGAGCAGCCTGCCTCCGTCGTGCTCACGCCAGAGGAAGAGCAATGCGAAGAGATCTTCGCCCGCACGCATGAGCGTCTCGCCGACGGAAGGTACATGGTCCGTCTTCCGCTGGCTGGCCCTCTTCCACCTCTCGAACACACGCGGAAGTCCGCCGAGCGACTTCTCGCGGCAATGGAGCGACACCGCTCCAGAGACGCCGGCTTCAACAAGCTCTATGGCAGCTTCATGGAGGAGTACTCGGACCTGCAGCATATGACCCTGGTCAGAACACCGCTCATCAAGAAATCCGCGTGTTACTTACCACACCACGGAGTGCTCCGGACTTCCAGCACGACCACCAAGTTGAGAGTGGTCTTCAACGGATCTCAATGTACGCCTGCCGGAGACTCACTCAACAACGCACTCCTGGTCGGAGCCAATCTTCTGCCTACTCTCGCCGACGTCCTTCTGCGTTGGCGCTGGCACCGTTTCGCCTTCATCGCCGACATCGAGAAGATGTACCGGCAGATCCTGGTACATCCCGACGATCGAGACCTACAGCGGATCCTTTGGAGACGGCAACGCACTGATGACGTCCAGGAGTATCGGCTCAACACGGTGACGTATGGATTGGCCTGTGCACCGTTCCTGGCGATCAGGACTCTCCGTCAATTGGCCGACGATGAAGAGTCGACAAACCCCAAGGGCGCAGTCGCCTTGCGGCACGACTGCTACGTCGACGACATCGTCACAGGCGCCAGCACACTCTCCGTAGCAGTCGAAATCCAGAGGCAGTTGCGCCGGCTCTGCATGGCGGGCGGGTTCCCCTTGAGGAAGTGGGCTTCCAACCACCAGAGCATCCTCGAGGAGATACCGAGGGAGCATAAACTCCAGCAATCACACCACGACTGGGAGGACGACGCTCATTCGACGCTTGGTCTACGGTGGCACCCCCGCAGCGACTCCTTCACCTTCCGCCTCCAGCCTCGCACGACTGCCCCGCTGACAAAGAGACAGGCGTTGTCGGAGACAGCTCGAATATTCGATCCACTAGGCTGGTTAGCTCCAGTCACCGCTCGTGCCAAAATCCTCATCCAGTCAGCCTGGATGAAGCAGTTGGATTGGGACGCCCCACTGCCTCAATCAGATGAGACGCTGTGGAGACGTCTGCTTGAGGATCTCCCGCTGCTGGAGCAGCTCCGGCTGCAACGATGGCTGAAGGCCGACAATCAACCTAATCACGTTGAGCTCCACGGGTTCGCTGACGCTTCAGAGCGAGGTTACGCAGCCGTCGTGTACCTCCGCGTGGTGAGCTCCTCCTCGACCACGATCAGCCTGCTTGCTGCAAAAAGCAAAGTTGCACCCATTAAGCCCGTGTCTCTACCGCGTTTGGAATTGTGCGCTGCAGTCTTGGTCACTAACCTGACTTTTCATCTTTGCGAAGCCTTAGGCTTGTTTTCAGCTCCAGTTACGCTATGGTCGGACTCCCGGGTCGCTCTTCAGTGGATACAAGGACACGCCTCGAAGTGGAAAACCTTCGTGGCCAACCGGGTGTCCCACATCCAGACAAAACTTCCGGAGGCACGATGGCGACACATCCCAGGGCGAGACAACCCCGCCGATTGCGCCTCTCGGGGGATTGAGCCCCGGGACCTGCTCAACCACTCCCTCTGGTGGACGGGACCCCCATGGCTCGCCAAGGATCCAGCGGTCTGGCCACAGCACGGCCACGCCACACACGACGTCGAGGTGCCGGAGACGAGAGCAATCGCCTCCCACTTGACGACCGCGGAGAAAGCCGAACCAGGGATGCTTCTCAGGTTCTCCGACCTCCATCGCCTCCTGAGAGTCACCGCCTGGTGTTGCCGATGGCGAGGCAACCTACCGAGGTCGAAGGCTCACCTCAACCTCACGCCTGACGAGCTGGAAGAAGCCCTGCTCCGCTGGCTCCGTTTGGTGCAGGCCCTCCACTTCTCCAAGGAGATCACAGCCCTGAAACAAAATAAAGGGTTAATCAAGGGTCCAATATCGAAATTAACCCCCTTCCTCGACGGCCATGGGATCATTCGAGTCGGGGGCCGGCAGAAGCATGCTGTGCTCTCAGAAGACGAGCGCCACCCGATCATCTTACCTGCAGAGTCATGGATGACGCAACTCCTCGTCAAGGCGCATCACAGACGAACTCTCCACGGCGGGGTCCAGCTCACTCTCGGCCTGCTCCGCCTACGGTATTGGATTCCTCGAGGTCGCTCCATCGTCAAGAGGGTCATCCACCGATGCGTAACGTGTGCAAGATGGAAGGCTGCAGTACCGCGGCCCATGATGAGCGACCTTCCGACGGCGCGAGTCGCTCCAGCACGTCCATTCTTGCGGACTGGAGTCGACTACGCCGGACCAATCCTGATCCGAACCACCAAGGGGAGAGGACACAAATCGCACAAAGGCTTCATCGTGGTTTTCATCTGCCTCACCACCAAGGCCGTACATCTGGAAGCCGCATCGGATTATTCCACGGACGCATTCCTCGCTGCATTCCGGCGCTTCACTTCCCGTCGAGGACTCTGCGAGGAAGTCTACTCGGATTGCGGCACAAATTTCGTTGGCGCAAACCGAGAACTACGACTCCTGTTCCAGGCGTCGTCATCCGACGGCCGGCGCATCGCCCACACAGCAGCGTCCAACGGAATACGGTGGTTCAATCCACCGGCGGCACCTCACTTCGGCGGGCTTTGGGAGGCAGCGGTGAAATCCACCAAACACCACCTGCGAAGAGTGCTCGGAGACACGACCCTCACCTTCGAGGAAATGTCCACATTCCTCGCTCAGGTGGAGGCGTGCCTCAACTCTCGTCCACTTCAGGCACTGTCCGATGACCACGACGACTTAACGGCGCTCACTCCGGGTCACTTTCTAATCGGGGCTCCCTTGCTGGCAGTGCCCGAACCCTCACTGGCAGACGTCAACGTCAACCTCTTGTCCCGCTGGAAACTTCTCCAACGGATGCGCGACCACTTCTGGGAAAGGTGGTCGCGGGAGTACATCAACTCACTGGCTTCCCGACCAAAGTGGTTGAAGGACACAGCAAGTCCCACCGTCGGCGATCTGTGTCTAGTGCGGTCGGACATCACTCCACCAACCCGATGGCCACTCGCTCGGATCACCAAGCTGCACCCTGGGGATGACGGCGTAACGCGCGTGGTCACTGTACGCACCGCATCCTCGGAGCTTGTCCGGCCTCTCATCAAGATCATCCTCCTGCCTGGAGCCGACACCGCAGCATCAACGCACCCGGATTCGTGAGCGAAACAGAGCACCGTGTTTTATTTTAATTTATTTGTTTTTTTTCATTAAATTGTCCGTGCACGGAATTGTTTATCACGGCCGTCGTGCATCACCTCCGATAATCGCGCCGCGCGCTATCACATTTATCAATCACATTCATATCACATCCGAGCCGCTTCATTAACTTTTGTTTCTTCGGACCCCGCGTCGAAATTCACTTTCACTGCACTCACAAAATCATTCACAGCATCACCTCACATATCTCACAAACACCGCACTACTTATTCTCGCGAAAGACTTATCACAACTGTTTGACACGTGTCTTCTCTTTACGTCACTTCGCATTCCATTCATCACTCATTTCACATCTCTCAATAGCACAGTCCGCGACACCTGTTTGTAACCGCTCACACTCGAAAAATTTCGTCACGTACTGACGAGGCGGGCGGGATGTTCAAAATTAAAACGATCATTCGAGTCAGAAAACGCATCTTTCGCTAATAGATCAAAATTAGCATCTTTTCGCTAATAGATATTCGAGAATTTAAAATCAACGGGCATCAGGAATCTTCTCGAAATATCTGTTATTATTAAAAAAACTCGAACGCTCGAGTTTTCTCGCTTTTTGCTACCACTAAAAAACGCTCGTTATTGTCGTTGACAATATTATTGTCAACTGCCGTTAAAATTTACGCCGCTCATGGGCATGCGCGCCCATGCGTCACGATCAGCTGATCGCCAATCAGCTGATCGAGAAGGATTGCGCGCGTGAAAAACAAAGCATATCCGACATGAGACGCGGGCCTAAAAATCCGCCCGCTTTATAACGGGCGCCGCGCGTGGACCAAAGGAAGTCTCGTACTTATCGCTGCTCGCAGTACTTTAACCGCTTTGAAAACCGCTTGTAAAACCGCTAACATATCGACCGCTTTCTCATTTGGACTTTCTCTTTATCTCACCGGCTTCTGCAATTTTTGTTAATATATTTTATTGTATTAATCTGTTATATCGTGTGGTGTTTGAAATAAAAAGTCAAAATCAAAAAAAAAGAATCTACGTGTCGTGTGAAGTTTTTGTGTCAAATACTCTGTTCGCGGCTATCCGTCTGCCGCGTCTTCAAACCTCGCGCTGTCGCAGCAATCCGCGCTCACTCGCGAACAATATTTTTAATTATAACAAAAAAATGCAATTATTTACATGTCTTTTCCTTACGCTCCAATCCTTCGTGCGCTCTCGCATTAATTATAAGTCTTATTATTATAAGTATCGTTCTCTCTCACACACGCGACAAGGGTACAAAGCAGTCGAACATCGGGGGCTGATATGTAAACGGGGGACAAAGGCTGGACCGAAATATCTCAAAAATATAAATTTATGAAATAAAGTTATTAAAAATATATATAAGAGTATAAAAGGTTTTTTTACAATATCCCATTTGCAAAAAAAAATTTTTGTCCCCGACAATCTCTGAAAGCTTGTCCGCTTAATCTCTATTGTTCATACGTCGAACGGAAAAAAAAACCTAGAATTTTTTATATTAGGGGGTGTACCTCGAGAGTACAAAGCAGCCGAACATCGGCGCTGATATGTAAACGGGGGGGAGCGGGGGGAGACAAAGCAGTCGAACATTGGCGCTGTTAAAATTTTTCCTTAAAAATAAAATAAAAAATAAAATAGAAAATAAAATAAAAAATAAAATAAAATAAAATAAGATGATAAAAAATGATTTTTTTTGGCCCAAAATCATCTTCAAAAGAATACTGTCCTTTTTTCTTGTTTATGCATGTCATAAAATATCCAACACGTGCATCCCCCACCCCGCAATCCCCGCGTGACGTCATACCCCGCTCCGCTGAGATCCCCTCGCACCTCACCTCCCCTGAGAGGACCTGAGTTAGAACCCGCCTAGTACTAACTACTAATAGATTTCGATGAATTATTTATATCATACACCTTGTATATACAAAAGAACATGTTTTAAGATATTTTTTTCTTTTATACATTTAGTCTTACGAACAACATATCGGAAACCTTGTTTACAGAATGATAAATAAAATATTAACAATTTTGTAGTATTTGTATATTTTTGTATATATTTGTATATATTTTGAAACAAAGATGTTCGTTGGAAACTGTCTTTAAATTATACAATTGATCTACAGAAATGTTCTCAAATTAAACATTTTAGTGAAAGTGCATAAAATTACACCTCACCGATTTTATCGCCGTTTGGATATGTTATAAAGGAGGTTATCCTGAGTAATTCCCCGCAAAAAATAAGTGGGGGACGGCATTAATTTAGAAAATATAACAAGTTAAAGTTTGACAATTTTAACGCTTTTCTTAAGCATTATATGCTGTTCTAGGCATAAAGAACATTGTATATGTTTATAAGGTTTGTGTACATCCTACTGATCTATTTGACATCTTCTATAACTGTACGGTCAAAAATTATGTAATTTGCAATTAACAGTTACATATTTTTTTCTTAAAGATAACTATGTATTTTTTACACCAGTGGATTCCTCTCATTATTTTGTGCCTAATAGTATTAAGGTAAGATTATCGAACAGTGAATAGTTTACGAGATATTTTATGATTTATGTAAAATTGAGAAATTATGTCAAGCCTCATAACTCAAAAAGTACTGAATAAAAACTAACTTAGTTATAGTGTTTTGGAAAGCTCTCGAAATAAGCTATAAGAATATGCAATAAAAAATAGGGGGTTCCATTTAAAATATTCAAGGTGATCTTGTCCTGACCTTGACAATCTAACTCTAGGTCAAATTGATAAGATCAGTAAATAGATTTTTTTAAACCTTACCACATTTATCTGAAACAATTTTCTATAAAACTTATATTTTTCGAGATAATTTAAGGTTCTAACCTTTTTTCCCCATCCTGTATACATATAACGTTCTTAATAATAGTCTATAATACCTATAAGAAGCGTTAAAATTGTCAAATTTTAACTTGTTGTATCTTCTAAATTAATGCCGTCCCCCACTTATTTTTTGCGGGGAATTACTCAGGACAATCTTCTCCATAACATATTCAAGCGGCGATAAAACCGGTAAGGTGTAACCTTTTATGCACTTTTACAACATTTTATCTCAATATATTTTTAAGGGATATTTTAAATCTCAAATTAAACGTTTTTATGTAAATGTTTTTCAGGTATATTTCAAACGGTGTTAATACTAATTTTTTTTATTAAACGTATTTTTTGAGTTTATTTGGAAGGAAAATTTAATATTATGAATTCTAAGAATTAAAAAGAATATAAAGAATATAATTGCAATTTATAAAACTTTAAGACAATTTTTTTATATTTTTTTTATAATTAAATATATTAGTTTAAAAATGCTTTGAAAATTTAGTTTTTAGAAAATCATAAAAGATTTGCATTATTATTTTTCATAAGGAATCAATCTTTTAAAAATTCATTTCATGTCAGCGTACAGTTTTAAATATATGTTTTGAGTAATTATTACATATATCCTTAGTATTCTTTTAGAACAGATTATTGTAATTATAATTCCCTCAATTGCAATTGTTTTCATACGTATATTCCTATTATATACATTATCTGTTCTGGATATATTTGTCATATTTATTCGGAATATATATTACAAAACTCTACGCTGACATGTAGTGAATTTTTCAAAGAGACGGCTTTATAAAAAAAGCGCCCGCTGTAGAAAGAGGTACTACATAGGAGGCGTAGTTTTTTATATATCGATAAAAATTACCAATGAGATGCTAGCAAGAGAGACAAAATAGGCCTCCTATGTAGTATCTTTCTTTCTACAGCGAGCGCGCAATTGCTTATCGCAATGCTCAGTCCAGTTTATATGTCGATGGTATCAGCATATGCTTCCCGGCCAAATGATTCGAAAGTTGTCTTTACAAATAGTTATTTTGCTGTTCGTATAGATTTGTGTTTTTTTTTCATATTGATTTTTAATCAGGTGTTCTGTGGATCTCTCAAGATATTCAGTCTAAAGACTAGTAATACGTATTTGTCAAGCATTTCGTACAGTCATGTATTCATTAGTAAAATTTGATAATCAAGAATGCCTTATAACTCTTTCGAAGAAAGTGAAAATGGTTCAAGACAAAACTTGTCTCATTAAAATAAAGGGATCGTCATATCAAAGTTATTTATTAAACACTCATGGTAAATTATTTTTAATAACCTCTAAATATAACCTATTAAAAAAGTTCTATAAAACTCAGCAAACGCCAAGTAATAATTATATAACTGTTGTAATTTCACATTTAATAATATAACTGTTATATAATCGTTATATTGTTGAGTGGGAAATTACAACTAACAGTTATATAACCGTTACTTGATGTTTGTTGGGAACATATAGTTTGAAGACAGGTGACTATTTTTTTTTAACAAATATTGAGAAAAGCTCTCTTAAGTTTAAAAAAGGAAGATAAAAGGCGGTAGAGAGCATAAAATTAATCGTATAATAATCGTATAAATTAGTTTAATAAGATAGTATAGACCGATAAAGAAAAGCAAATCCAGTAAAATTTGAGTAATTACAAATAAAAATAATATAAATAAATATAATAGCGAACGTTTCTGGCTCTTGCTTCGAGCCTTCTTCAGCGCAATGACAAATAAGATATAAATAACGGTACGGTGAGGACATAATAGAACTAATATAAAAATAAATGATAATGAATATTATAAAAAACATGAATCAAGAACGCAATGCCGCAAAGACAGTAATCGCTTGTCGAAAAAATAATAAATCTCCATGACGTGAGATACAGGAACCTTATTATGCAAGTACAATAGATGCTGAACGAAAACTCGACAGCAGTACCAAATGCAGCCTAAAATTTGGCACTATTAGATTGAATCATTAATATGATATAAGAAATTATCAAAAAATACTCACGAAGAAATCGCTCAGCAGTAATATTAAAAGTCGGAAGACAATAAGGTTCGACATAAAGATCGGTTACTGTATAAAAGTGTCGGCGAGATGGCTC